ATAGGTGAACTATAAATCCCAGCAAATACAACTCCCAAATGTTAAGGTCTATTTCCCCCAAACTCCATCTGTGTTCACATTTGGGCATATTGAAGATTTGTGCCAAGTTTGGTCCAGATCCATCATTCTTTGAGTCCACTGCACTCTCTGGATGTAGGTGAACTACAACTCCAAAACTCAAAGTCAACGCCCACCAAACCCTTCCAGTATTTTCTGTTGGTCATGGGAGTTCTGTGTCGGAAGTTTGGCCCAATTCCATTGTTGGTGGAGTTCAGAATGCTCTTTGATTGTAGGTGAACTATACATCCCAGCAACTACAACTCCCAAATAGACCCAAATGTCAAGGTCTATTTCCCCCAAACTCCATCTGTGTTCACATTTGGGCATATTGAAGATCTGTGCCAGGTTTGGTCCAGTTAATGAAACTACATCCTTCATGTCAGATATGGGAGCTCCTCGGTGGCGCAGTGGTTAAACCACTGATCTGCTACACTTGTTGACTGAAGAGTCGCTGGTTCGAATCTGGGGAGTGAGGTGAGCTTCCACTGTCAGCCCCAGCTTCTGCCAACTTAGCAGTTCAAAAACATACAATGTGAATAGAGCAATAGATACCGCCTTTGCGGGAAGGTAAGGGCACACCATGAAGTCATGCTGGCCACATGACCTTGGAGACGTCTACGGACAATGCTGGCTCTTTGGCTTAGAAACGGAGATGAGCACCAGAGTCCCAGAGTCAGATATGACTGGACTTAATGTCAGGAGAAAACCTTTACATTAACCTTTAGTGTGATTTTAATTCATTGAAACCACTCCGGTGGGAGGGTAAGGGTGCTCCATGCAGTCATGCCAGCCACATGACCTTGGAGGTGTCTATGGACAACACCAGCTCTTCGGATTAGAAATGGAGATGAGCACCAGAGTTCTGGATTTAATGTCAAGGGGAAACCTTTACCTATAGCAGATATTTACATTAAGCTTCATAACAGTAGCAAAATGACAGTTATGAAGTAGCAATAAAAACAATGTTATGGTTGGGGGTCACCACAACATGAGGAACTCTATGAAGGGGTCGCGGCATTAGGAAGCGGGAGAACCACTGACCGAAGGCCATCCAATGCCTTTCCTCTGCCACAGTGTCTCTCTCCGTTGACAGTTTCTGCCCAAAGCGGAGAATTCTGTCCCCAAAAGAGGAGGACAAATTGTGCAGGCTCAGTCCCCTGGCCAAAAGGTTGGCGTGTCCAAGAGCAAGAGGTCTGCAACCTTTAACTATTGTTATTATTGTTATCCCATTATTCTTATTGCAATAAGATTAATGGGTTGTTGTAGGTTTTTCCGGGCTATATGGCCATGTTCTGGAGGCAATTTTTCTCCTGACGTTTCGCCTGCATCTATGGCAAGCATCCTCAGAGGTAGTGATATTTATACCCCAACTTTTGTTGCATCCCAAAAGGTCTGGATTCACACTGGTGGGAGTGTGCAGGGAGGTGTGTGTGTCAAAGAGCAAGAGGTCTGCATTTCCTATTATTATTATTATTATTATTATTATTATCCATAGAGTGAGTAGATCAATAGGTACCGCTTTGGTGGGAAGGTAATGGCGCTCTATGCCATCATGCTGGCCACATGACCTAGTGTGTGTGTGTGTGTCATGCTGGCCACACAACCTTGGAGGTGTCTATGGAGATGAGCACTAACATCCAGAATCGCACAACTGGACTTAATATCAAGGGGAAACCGTTACATATACCAGTTATTTACATTAAGATTGCGAAGTAGCAGTGAAAATAATGTTCTGGTTGGGGGTCAGTACAACATGAGGAACTGTATGAAGGGGTCGCGGCGTTAGGAAGGTGGAGAAACACTGACCGAAGGCCATCCAATGCCTTTCTTCAGCCACAGTGTCTCTCTCTGTTGACAGATTTTGCCCTCAAACCATCTGCAAAGCGGAGAATTCTGTCCCCAAAAGAGGAGGACAAAGTGTGCCGGTCCACTCCGAATGCCTCCATCCTGGGCTCTGGGGTCACCACAACAGGAGGAACTATACTATTGGGTCGTAGCATTAGGAAAGTTGAGAACCACTGACCGAAGGCTATCCAATGCCTTTCCTCTGCCATAATGTCTCTCACCTCTGACAGATTCTGCCCTCAAACCATCTGCAAAGTGGAGAATTCTGTCCCCAAAAGCAGAGAACAAAGTGTGTCTGAATGCCTCCATCCTGGGCTCTGGGGTCACCACAACAGGAGGAACTATACTATGGGGTCGTGGCATTAGGAAAGTGGAGAAACACTGACCGTAGGCCATTCAATGCTTTTCCTCAGCCACAATGTCTCTCTCCGTTGACATATTCTGCCCTCAAACCATCTGCAAAGTGGAGAATTCTGTCCCCAAAAGAGGAGGACAAAGTCTGCCGGTCCAGTCCGAATGCCTCCATCCTGGGCTCTGGGGTCACCACAACATGAGGAACTATACTATGGGGTCAAGGCATTGGGAAGGTGGAGAAGCACTGACCATCTAATGCCTTTCCTCAGCCACAGTGTCTCTCTCCGTTGACAGATTCTGCCCGAAGCGGAGAATTCTGTCCCCAAAAAGAGGAGGACACAATGTGCCAGTCCAGTCCGAACGCCTCCATCCTGGGCTCTGAGGTCACCACAACAGGAAGAACTATACTATGGGGTTGTGGCATTAGGAAGGTGGAGAAGCACTGACCGAAGGCCATGCAATGCCTTTCCTTGGCCACAGTGTCTTTCTCCATTGACAGATTCTGCCTTCAAACCATCTGCAAAGTGGAGAATTTTGTCCCCAAAAGAAGAGAACAAAGTGTGTCCGAATGCCTCCATCCTGGGCTCTGGGGTCACCACAACAAGAGGAACTATACTATGGGGTCGTGGCATTAGGAAGGTGGAGAAACACTGACCAAAGGCCATCCAATGTTTTTCCTCGGCCACAATGTCTCTCTCCGTTGACATATTCTGCCCTCAAACCATCTGCAAAGCGGAGAATTCTGTCCCCAAAAGAGGAGGACAAAGTGTGCCGGTCCAGTCCGAATGCCTCCATCCTGGGCTCTGGGGTCACCACAACCCCAGGTGGAGAAGCACTGACCATCCAATGACTTTCCTTGACCACAGTGTCTCTCTCCTTTGACAGATTCTGCCCGAAGCAGAGAATTCTGTCCCCAAAAGAGGAGGACAAAGTGTGTCCGAACGCCTCCATCCTGGGCTCTGGGGTCATTAGGAAAGTTGGAAACCACTGACCGAAGGCTATCCAATGCCTTTCCTCTGCCATAGTGTCTCTCACCTCTGACAGATTCTGCCCTCAAACCATCTGCAAAGTGGAGAATTCTGTCCCCAAAAGAAGAGAACAAAGTGTGTCCGAATGGCTTCATCCTGGGCTCTGGGGTCATCACAACAGGAGGAACTATACTATGGGGTCGTGGCATTAGGAAGGTGGAGAAACACTGACCATCCAATGCCTTTCCTCTGCCACACTCTCTATTGACAGATTCTGCCCAAAGCGGAGAATTCTGTCCCCAAAAGAGGAGGACACAGTGTGCCGGCCCAGTCCGACCGCCTCCGCCATCCTGGGCTCTGCCTGTGTTTACTTCCCTTGCGACCCACAAACACCCCCCAAACACAGGTCCCTTTCCGTTGCCACCCTGCCCGCACAAAGAGCCCCTGTCACACAAGGCATTGTTGGAGGGACAGAGAGGAAAACACATCAATGCTCAACTGAATTTCCTTTTGGAAAAAGAGCGGGGGGACAAAGTCCACCAAGCCTGACTTTTCTCCAAGCTGGAAACTTTTCCTTGGGACAAAGAGGCTTTTCTTCTTGGGTCTGAACTTTGAGAAGCTTTGGGAAAAGAGAGATATGGTGTTTCATGGGGTCTGAACTTTGAGAAGCTTTGGGAAAATGGTGTTTCGTGCATTGTCAGAGCGGGTTGTTGTGCGTTTTCCGGGCTGTGTGGCTCTGTTTCCAGAGATGGGGCTTGGGTTTGGAAGGGAAACTTTCCCTCCTTTGTTTTGCCTGCCAGATGCCAGCTAAGCAATGGGCTGGACTTGGGTCCAGGCTCTCCAGAGACACAAAAGACCCCCATCCTGACAGTCCCACCACGCTCCCTTGTTGTGTAGACACAAAAGACCCCCATCCTGACAGTCCCACCACGCTCCCTTGTTGTGTAGACACAAAAGACCCCCATCCTGACAGTCCCACCACGCTCCCTTGTTGTGTAGACACAAAAGACCCCCATCCTGACAGTCCCACCACGCTCCCTTGTTGTGTAGACACAAAAGACCCCCATCCTGACAGTCCCACCACGCTCCCTTGTTGTGTAGACACAAAAGACCCCCATCCTGACAGTCCCACCACGCTCCCTTGTTGTGTAGACACAAAAGACCCCCATCCTGACAGTCCCACCACGCTCCCTTGTTGTGTAGTCACAAAAGACCCCCATCCTGACAGTCCCACCACGCTCCCTTGTTGTGTAGACACAAAAGACCCCCATCCTGACAGTCCCACCATGCTCCCTTGTTGTGTAGACACAAAAGACCCCCATCCTGACAGTCCCACCACGCTCCCTTGTTGTGTAGACACAAAAGACCCCCATCCTGACAGTCCCACCATGCTCCCTTGTTGTGTAGACACAAAAGACCCCCATCCTGACAGTCCCACCACGCTCCCTTGTTGTGTAGACACAAAAGACCCCCATCCTGACAGTCCCACCACGCTCCCTTGTTGTGTAGACACAAAAGACCCCCATCCTGACAGTCCCACCATGCTCCCTTGTTGTGTAGTCACAAAAGACCCCCATCCTGACAGTCCCACCACGCTCCCTTGTTGTGTAGTCACAAAAGTCCCCCATCCTGACAGTCCCATCCTTCTGTCCCAGCAAGAAGGGGCTCCAGGGAGAGTCCATGCAGGTAAGGAGACCCCAAAGGTGAGCAGCCCAGGCACCCCTCTCTCTCTCTTTCTCTCTAGTCTAGGGCAATGGGAAGCCTTGTCCTTACCGGCTTTGCAAGGATCCTTGTAGTCAATGGGCTCTGGCTCTTCCTCTTCCTCCAAAACATCACTGTAGTCGGTAAAATCCAAAGCTTGTCCCAGGACCAGGCAAGAGAAAAGGACAAGCAAGCCCCCACGGGAGGCAGGCATGCTGGCGCGTCCCGGGAAATGACCCACGGAACGGCACAAACACGCGAGACCAATGACAGGAGAGGGAAAGAATGGGGGAAAGAAGCAGGAGTGGGAAAGGGGACAGAGAGAGAGAGAGAGAGAGAGAGAGAGGAGGGGGGGGAAAGAGAGAGAGAGAGAGAGAAGTGGGAAGAGATGGGAGGGCTTCCCTCCTCCTTCCTTCCTTCCCTCCCTCCCTCCCTCCTTCTCTCTCTCTTTCCTCTGCCCTTCTTTTCCCCTCCCTCCCTTCTTCTCTTTGCGAGCAGGGGCGGGCTCCAATCCCAAGGCTCAGCCCCCTTTTTTCTCCCCCCAGGCTGGATGGAGGGGGCTTGAGGGGGAAGAAAGTCCAGGAGGACCCCCACTCCTCTCTTCAGAGAAGATGGAGGGAGGAAGGAAGGGAAGGAGAGAAGGGCATTTTAGGACAGAGATCTCCTCTCTCTCTCCCTCCGCCTGGAAGCTTTTCAGGGAAAAAAGGAGGAAAAAATACAGAAAGAGGGAGGAGAAGGAGGAGAGGAGAAGTTTCAGCAAAAATCTGCTGAAGGCAAAGGAGAAGCCAAAGGGTTGCGTGGCAATTGAAGGGGGGGAGGAGGAGGAAGGAGGAGAGGCACCCAAAGGGAAAGGGGGCTCTTTCCAACACCCCCCCCCCCAAAGTCAAGCCCAACTCACCCGACTTTGGTCGCATCCCAAAAATAGTGGAGTCTGGGTTCACTCTGGCTGAGTTTTTGGGATGCTGGTGGGAGTGTGCAAGGAGGAGTGTGTGCCAAAGAGCAAAAGGTCTGCATCCTCCTCCTCCTGTTATTATTATTATCATACTATATTATTATTATTATTATTATTATTATTGAGGTCTGGGTCCACTCTGGCTGAGTTTTTGGGATGCTGGTGGGAGTGTGCAAGGAGGGGTGTGTGTCAAAGAGCAAAAAGTCTGCATCCCCCTCCTGTTATTATTATTATCATACTATATTATTATTATTATTATTATTATTATTATCTATTATTATTATTATTATTATTATTATTATTATTATTGCAATAAGAATAATATTTATACGCTGGGATGCAACAAAAGTCAGGGTATAACTATTATTCTTATTGCAATAATAATAATAATAATAATCCCAAAAATAGTGGGGTCTGGGTCCACCCTGGCTGAGTTTTTGGGATGCTGGTGGGAGTGTGCAGGGAGGGGTGTGTGCCAAAGAGCAAAAGGTCTGCATCCTCCTCCTCCTGTTATTATTATTATCATCCTATTATTATCCTATTATTATCCTATTATTATTACTGCAATAAGAATAATATTTATACGCTGGGATGCAACAAAAGTCAGGGTATAAATATTATTCTTATTGCAATAATAATAATAATAATAATAATCCCAAAAATAGTGGGGTCTGGGTTCACCCTGGCTGAGTTTTTGGGATGCTGGTGGGAGTGTGCAAGGAGGGGTGTGTGTCAAAGAGCAAAAAGTCTGCATCCCCCTCCTCCTGTTATTATTATTATCATCCTATATTATTATTATTATTATTATTATTATTATTATCCTATTATTATCCTATTATTATCCTATTATTATTGCAATAAGAATAATATTTATACGCTGGGATGCAACAAAAGTCAGGGTATAAATATTATTCTTATTGCAATAATAATAATAATAATAATAATAATAATAATAATCCCAAAAATAGTGGGGTCTGGGTTCACCCTGGCTGAGTTTTTGGGATGCTGGTGGGAGTGTGCAAGGAGGGGTGTGTGTCAAAGAGCAAAAAGTCTGCATCCCCCTCCTCCTGTTATTATTATTATCATCCTATATTATTATTATTATCCTATTATTATTATTATTATTATTATTATTATTATTATTATTGCAATAAGAATAATATTTATACCCTGACTTTTGTTGCATCCCAAAAACTCAGCCAGAGTGAACCCAGACCCCACTATTTTTGGGATGCAACAAAAGATCAGGGTATAAATATTATTCTTATTGCAATAATAATAATAATAATAATAATAATAATAATAATAATCCCAAAAATAGTGGGGCCTGGGTTCACCCTGGCTGAGTTTTTGGGATGCTGGTGGGAGTGTGCAAGGAGGGGTGTGTGTCAAAGAGCAAAAAGTCTGCATCCCCCTCCTGTTATTATTATTATCATACTATTATTATTATTATTATTATTATTATTATTATTGAGGTCTGGGTCCACTCTGGCTGAGTTTTTGGGATGCTGGTGGGAGTGTGCAAGGAGGGGTGTGTGTCAAAGAGCAAAAAGTCTGCATCCTCCTCCTCCTGTTATTATTATTATCATCCTATATTATTATTATTATCCTATTATTATTATTATTATTATTGCAATAAGAATAATATTTATACCCTGACTTTTGTTGCATCCCAAAAACTCAGCCAGAGTGAACCCAGACCCCACTATTTTTGGGATGCAACAAAAGTCAGGGTATAAATATTATTCTTATTGCAATAATAATAATAATAATAATAATAATAATAATAATAATCCCAAAAATAGTGGGGTCTGGGTTCACTCTGGCTGAGTTTTTGGGATACTGGTAGGAGTGTGCAGGGAGGGGTGTGTGTCAAAGAGCAAAAAATCTGCATCCTCCTCCTATTACTATTATCCTATTATTATTATTACTATTATCATCATCATCATCCTATTATTATTATTGCAATAAGAATAATATTTATACACTAACTTTTCATGCCTTCCAAAAGTATTGAGGTCTGGATTCACACTGGTGGGAGTGTGCAGGGAGGGGTGTGTGTCAAAGAGCAAAAGGTCTGCATCCTCTTATTATTATTATTATTATTATTATTATTATTATTATTATTATCATCCCATTATTGTCCTATTATTATTATTACTATTATTGCAATAAGAATAATATTTAGGCACCAACTTTTCTTGCATCCCAAAACTATTGAGGTCAGGATTCACACTGGTGGGAGTATGCAGTGAGGTTTGTATGTCAAAGAGCAAAAGCTCTGCATCCTCTTATTATTATTATTATTATTATTATTATTATTATCCAATTATTATTATCCAATTATTATTATCCAATTATTATTTTACTGACACAAAAACACAGTATGTCACAGTAAATGATATAGACTATTATTATTGTTGTTGCAATAATAATAATAATAACAATAATAATAGGATAATAATAATAGGATACTAATAAGAGGATGCAAACAGTTTGCTCTTTGACACAACACACACCTCACTGCACACTCCCACCAATGTGAATCCAGACCTCAGTACTTTTGGGATGCAACAAAAGTCGGGGTATAAATATATATAAGTACTAGCTGTTCCCTGCCACGCGTTGCTGTGGCCCAATCTTTGTAGATGTGTTTTGAGTGTGTATATATTTGTGTTTATGAGTCTAAGTGTGTGTTTGCATATAGAATCATAGAATCATAGAATCAAAGAGTTGGAAGAGACCTCCTGGGCCATCCAGTCCAACCCCATTCTGCCAAGAAGCAGGAATATTGCATTCAAATCACCCCTGACAGATGGCCATCCAGCCTCTGTTTAAAAGCTTCCAAAGAAGGAGCCTCCACCACACTCGGGGCAGAGAGTTCCACTGCTGAATGGCTCTCACAGTCAGGAAGTTCTTCCTCATGTTCAGATGGAATCTCCTCTCTTGTAGTTTGAAGCCATTGTTCCGCGTCTTCATCTCCAAGGAAGCAGAAAACAAGCTTGCTCCCTCCTCCCTGTGGCTTCCTCTCACATTTATCCATGGCTATCATATCTCCTCTCAGCCTTCTCTTCTTCAGGCTAAACATGCCCAGCTCTTTAAGCCACTCCTCATAGGGCTTGTTCTCCTGACCCTTGATCATTTTAGT